TGCCAAAGCAAGCGTTTTGTCTTCTGAGCTAACTTGCCAGCTCTCCTCCTCCATTTTATAGGTTTCAGAGCTTCATCTCTAGCATGGCTTCCTTCTCTGGAACCAAGATTTCATGTGCAGGTGTTGTGATAGCCACCTGGGAGACTTACAGGCTATGTGTTCAGCCCCTGCACACCTCCTCTGACACATATGAGCAGACCTGTGAGACGCTGCCCTGTCCTCCCCAGAACAGTGCCATCTCATGGAGTTCACTTCCTTCTGTCCCTCCCCATCCCCAACCCAAGCTCCCTTAACCCAGCCTCGGCACCAGGCTCAGCCACTATGGCCCCTACTAATCTTGCTAATGGTGCACTCTTCCCTGGTGCTCACTCATGGCAGAAGATCTGACTCACATCTCCACCCACAGTAGATCCTGCTTGGATCAAACCAGGGAGGAATAGGACATGCTTCTGTCAAGTGTCAGATGCTGGATAGTTAGGCTTTGTGGGCCACAAAAGCCTGCCTCATGGTCTTTCTTTTTTTTTTTTTCCCTGGAACCGGGTATTGAACTCAGGCCCTTGCACTTGCCAGGGAAGCGCTTATTCCACTGAGCCATCTCCCCGGCCCCTATATCATGGTCTTTCTACCACCCTCTCAGTGATTTAAAGATGTAAACTCCATTCTTTAGTTGGGCCACAGATCCATGTGCTCCCCAAGGTTTAACCACACAGCACTTCTCATCTCCTTGTGTCTCTTTGAACTCCTAAGATGGAAATGCTCTTCCCTCTGTTGGGAATTCTCCCTCTGGCCACAAAACCATCTTGCCCTACAGCTACAAAACCATATTGCCCCACAGCTACTGCATAGCACAGCCTGGCTGGTAATGCCCAGCTCAATGCCTGCTAGCCATGCTGCCACATGGCATTTTGTAAAAGGCGAAAGATATGATCTGAAGAGAAACTAGAGTATCCACATGGCATTTTGGTACTGTTCCCTCATGCTGATACTCAAGGATAGACACCTTATTCATTTGACCCACCATACCACAGATAGCCTGGAGGCCCGAAGGCCCACTTGGATTCTGCTTCTCTGTCTTTCCTTGCTGCAGGCTGGCTTTCAGGTAGGAGTGTGTGGTGGGGGTGAGAGACCTCCTGGCCACTCCAGGCCAAGGCACATAGCACTCAGGCCTGTCTCTGGCCAGCTGAGTACCCAGTGGAGTCAGGGAGGTAGGCAAAAAGGCTGTGTATAAAGCATGTAGGGCCTTGTTGGTCTGCACTATTACACAGCTCCATGATGGGGGCATTGTACAGAGAGGGTGCAGCTCGTGAGCTGGGCAGATGCACAGTTGTAAGCTGTTGTTTGGATGTGTTAGAACCATCTAGTCCTGCCACTCCAGTGTCATGCTTTTGAAAGTACAGAACAAAAATATTATGTCTCAAATGAACATATCATGACATACTGCTTAGTAGCCTTTTGTTTTTCCTTTTTATCTTGTGGTCCTGGAGATTGAACCAGGTCTTATCATTGAACTACTTCCCCAGTGCTTGCTTTCTTTCTTTAGAAATGGGGTTTCACTAAGTTATTAAGTTACCTAAGTTGGGCTCAAACTTGTGATACTCCTGCCTCACCCTCCCAGAGTAGTGGGCTGACAGATGTGTACCATGCTTGGGTTTTTTTCTGACTTTAATCCTAAGAGATAAATCAATAATATACTTTACAATTTAATAGTGACTGCCTGTGTTTTCTGAAATAGATTGAACAGAATTAAACAAAATGCAATAAGCTTTTTTTCAGACACAAATTTGGTTGTACACAGGGCCTATAGTAAAACAGGATTCCAAAGAACAAAAGCAAGTCTGCCTTTGGTGTTCCTTTTGGATGGCCACACACTCTGCCCCAGGCATGCTGGTCGGTCCTCCTGACCATCAGTATCAGCATGACAGGCTGGGAGTACGCACTACCATTCAGAAGACAGAATCAGGCCACACTGAGACAGCCACCACAAACAGGCCACAACGCGCTTCCCTCAGCATTTCATGTCCAGGAGGCGTGGACACACCAGAGGCTCTTATGCCAGTGAGCTCCATGCATTTCCTCAACCAGAAGCCCAGTCTGTACACAAGGCTGTGTCTCCTGGGCCTTCCCATTCCCAGTTACAAGGCTCAGGCCTACCCCACTCAGCACACCCGAATCAGCAGAGGGAGGGCACCCTAGGTCTAAGGGAGCAGCTCCCCAGTGTGGCCCTGTTTGAGGGGTGTGATTTTGTGATTGTGTCACCTCATTCAGCTGAACAGAAAAGCAGTCTAACCAAGTTTGTGGTGCTGTACAGACTCTAGTCCAGCAGTCACACAGGCCAAGTCCCTGGGCAGTGAGGGGCCGGCTGGGCTCTCATGGGTAGGTTGAGGCATCACATGTGTATCCCAGGAAACAATGTGGCGCTTGTCCCACAGCCTGTAGGAGCCACGTGTAAATATGGGATAGGCACCTGCATTCAGGTCTAAAGGCTACTTTTTTCCCTGAAGGCCAGGAGGTGGATGGACATACCTACCACGGTGGCCAGCACCTCATCAGGGACTGGGCCCTCTCTAGGCCTCTGGTTTTATAGAGAGCAATGGCTATAGTGTCCTTGGCACTCCTCAGGAGGTTGTAGGCACCCTTCTTGGATGGACCTGACTGTGTAGGTGCCCAAGTAGGTGTGCAGTTGCACTTGGCTCTAAACAGCTGGCAGATGTGCACTCATGTCTTGGCCTTGGGGGACTGGAACTGCACTACAACCACCTTCGCATTCTGGAGTAGGCTACAATCCTGGGTCAGGGAGGGTGAAGGCAGTCTCTGCAGGCTGTGTGAGACATGGGTGGCACGAGGGATATGCACAGGCTCCTGGCTTGGGTGTTGGGAGCAGCCATAGAGGCTGGGCAGCAGCAATGTGAGGGTCTCCATCAGGGCCACCATCTTCTTCCTGCACTACTGCCAAGGGGACAGGAGGGTGAGAGAGGCATACAAAGCTATTCCCACTCCTGACATCAGACTATAGGTATGATGACAGACTCTGGAGTGTGCAGTTTCCTGTCCACTTCTGTGTCTCCCTCATATGCCTGTGTTTGACCAGAGGCTGGAGAGGCTGCCTGAGACCTGCACTCCTGGAGGCAGAGCACAGCTATCATGGGACACAGCTTTGGTCAGGTAGCTGATGGTGGGAAACTGTTGGCCCTGTACTCCATGATCCCTGCACCTGGCACATGAGGGAAGGCAACTGACAGTGCAAACCAGCTGGACCCAGCACAGGCTACTGGTCTTCAGTTTCACTAGCAAGGATAGCTGGAAGCATGTTAACTTTGGGTTTATTACAAATACAGGCATACTGTGCTGTGTCCACATTTGCTTAAGAATGAAGCTCCAGAAGCCCTCAGAGTCCCAGTGTCACTCAGACCACTGCCTGGTGTCCCCTGGCCCACTCCTTGGTGTTCAGCCCAAAGGTAGTTTGAAGGGCATGCCCGGTAGCTGCCTGCCCCAGGGACAGCTTCTTCTTTTGCTGGTGACTGATGCAAACATGGAGCTGCCCCCAGAGTTGCTGCAAGCCACCTGCTGGTGCAGCTGTCTGGGGCAAGGCTGTCCACCAGCACTGTGGTACCGATCAGGCATCAGGCTCCCCTGGTATTTTCCCTGTATTCTACTTCCACCACTCATTTTACAACCAAGGACCCAGGCAAACCGAGGGCATATGGATGGCTTAGTGCCATGGCCATGAGGTGTTGGGATCTGAACTTGATCTGGAATCTAGGCCCACCCAAGTTGGGAACCCAACCGTCTGCAGTCCTTGGGCTCCCCCAGAAGTCACTACTGCCAGAGTATTGTCTGGCTCAGTGTCCACGTCCAGCTCTGCAGCTGCCCCGGTGAGTTTTCTGCTCTCGTCCATCCTAGTTCCCTGTCTGTAAAATGGGACTAGGACTTTGGCAGAGCAAGGGCCCTGTGCAGCGGTGGGATGAGGTTACAGACCTAGTGTTGGTCTGCAGTTGCTCTCAGACCTGAGCTCACCCTGGCGAGCACAGCACAGCCTGTGCTGGTGCAGGGCTTTGGAGGCGTTGAGTCTCTGGCCACGGCCATCGTCTGCTGTGAACGTGATTCTAGGCACACTAGAGAAGTCTGTAAACAGTACTCAACACAGGTTTATCATATGGACTGTAAAAAAAAGAAAAAAGCCTTAAAATGCCTTTATGACAACCAAACCGCCCACCCACCACCTGAACTTCGGTAAGTTGGATGTGCTCCTAACTTCAAGGAGAATTCTAACCATAGCCTGGAGAAGCTGCCCCTGAAATGTCTAGAACCGCAGCTCACTCTGCTTCCAGGTTAGGGCTCAGAAGACGTCAGAGCAACTCCCAGGACACTCCTGAAACCGGGATTTGGGAGCCTTGGTCTTCCCGGCTGGGCCTCATCCGTCTTCTTCAGGCAGCACCCAGCACATACAGAAGCAGGGCGAGCTTGCCAAACCAGACACTGTCCAACAGTCCCCAGGTCAGGGACGCTCAGAGTCCAGGGCCAGCTCTCGGGTCAGCCCGGCCCGTGGAGCGCTGGGTGCCTGATGACGGTCACGGCCGGTCGGCCACCTGCACTCAGGTCTTCGTGGGCGGGCACAGAAAGCAGGGCCGCCTCGGGGCAAGGCTTGGGGCCCGGACCGATCTAGATGTGCGCTGCGCAAGGCCAGCTGCCAGAACCCTGCTCACTCGGAAAAGTGGCCACGGCTACGTTTCCGCGGTTGGGGGAGCCGGCGCAAGGCATCCATCGCTCTCCGCTGTGCCCTGGGTTGCCCCCGCCTCCAACCCTAGACCTGAGCAGCGCAAGCTGCAGCAACAATCCCACGCTCTCGTGGTCCACACAGCAGGTGGTCCCGGCTCTCAGGGCCGTGGGCGGGAGCGCGCACGTCGGCGTTCGAGCGCTGACTCCGCCTTCAGCGCGCGCGCCCCCGCGGTGGCGGCAGGCGGGGCGGGGCGGGACAGCGAGGGGCGGAGCCGTGGCTGGGCCGAGGGCGAGCCGGGGGCGCGGGCAGGCTGAGGCGCCGAGCTGCAGCGCACAGCGGGCGGACTGGGACGCGAACTGACGCGGCGGACCGAGGTAAGGCGGCGGCTGGCGGCGGGTGGCTGGCGGCGAGCGCCTGGCAGTGGGCGGTGAGACCGAGGGGCTGCCCTCGGAGACCCGGCCCCAAGAGCGGCAGCGCCCGGGTAGCAACCAGGAGGCAGCTGCGCCCGGGCTCGTCCGCATCCGCGTGGGAGCGCAGCGCCGGAGAGAGCGCGCCAGGGGTAGAGCTGCGCTGGGGAAGGGGAGCTGCGGCCGCGGGAGAGGAGCTGCGGCTGCGGGAGAGGAGCTGCTTCTTGAAGGGGTGCTTGGGCCCGAGAGGAGAGATTGCGCCCCAGGGGTGAAGCTGCGGCTCCGGTTGGAGACACCGCGACCCCGGAGGGCGGTGCGCTTTGGAATAGGCGACTATGTCCCTAGGACAGGCTGCGTCTAGGGGAGAGGACGTTGCGCTCCGAGGAGGGACCTGGTACCTCCGGGACCCGCGCGTCCGCACGCCCTCGTCCCTCCCGGGCACAGGGCCCGCGCTGGACGCCGTGTGGCGACGGCCGGGCCGGGAGGTCCCCGCGGTGCCATCCGAGCAGCGGGCCAGTTGCGGTGACGCGCTCGCGCGGGCTGCAGAATGACTACGTGGTGGCGGTGCGGGAGGGACACGTCAGATGGGCCAGGGACGCGGCCGTGCGGGGCCCTTTCCTGACGAGAAACCTGACGTGAGTCCGGCGGGGTTTGGCGTGGGAGCCCGCCCCGGCGTCTGGTTGGCTGTGGTGTCTTGGCCAGCAGGTCTTGGTGGTCCCTTCGCATGAAGGCCATCGCTGCGTGCCATTCTGTAAGTGCGACAAGAAAGTGGTCCTGGTACCAAACTTGCTTCTGTACTCGTATCATAGCGCCCTAACCCGACACAGAACGGCAGTTTTATATTGAAATGTGCCTGTAACCCTTTCCCATCCCTCTGAGCTTTTGTGTCCCCGTGAAAGGTGCCACCCGAGCTGCATCTCCACACGCCCTCTGTTTAGGGAGCAGTTCGAGGCTGTGGAGAAGTGCGCTGTCTCATATTCCAGCTTATCTTGGGGCTGGGATGGCTTTACCCTTCTTGCTTGCTGCGGTTTGCCAGAGGGAAAGGTCGACGGGTACAGCCTCTGCCAGCCTGGGAGAACAGAACAGTCTCTGGACACAAGGTTGCCGGGGGGCAGGCAGGATCCATGCATGAACACACACAGCGGGACTTGATACATATTGAATGAGACATGCCAGCCAGTGGGGCACTGTGGTCATGGTGGGGGGGGGGTGAATGCAAGTATCCCAAAGGAATGCATTGTCCGTTGCATCCAGCAGTGCTCATTGGATGGCAGGCTTTCTGGGAACCAACCAGGTGTATACAACCACATTGTGGCTGTGGAGTTTGAGGCTCTGGCTGGTAGGAAAAGATGGCCTTTCTGCAGGGCCAGTGGTGAGGAGAATGGGGCATCGCTGAGAAATTGATGACACATGTGTCTCTTGCCATCTGTTCTAGAGGCCCAGGTGGGAGGATCAGCTGCCAAGCAATAGCACTGTCCACATAGCACACCCTGGCTTAATGGCAGTTCACTTCTCATGCACTTAGATGTGCACTTCCGTGTACACGTGAAGCACTTGTATTGTGTTGAGTTTTTGAAAAAGTGTTTTAAACTTACCTTTGCTAGTGAATAGACTGAGGCTGACCTCATTTATTTGATGAGTACTGCTTTTTGGCTTGTTGTGTGCTAGGTTCTTCTGCAGGATACAGTGCTAAATGTGATAGCAGGGTTCAAAATGTCACTGGCAGGTTTTTTTTTTGTCACTTTGTAATATTCAATTTTTAAAGGAAAAATCCCAATAGTTATCAAATTATAAAAAGGTTGCTTATAGACCTAAAAAGATGAGAAGGCTCGTAGTGCAATCAAAAGGGACACAGATATGGACAGCCTCATTCCCTCCTGGTTCACCACACCTAGGGCCCAGGCCCCTGCTGCCAGTGATTGATCTGGTGCACTGTGCCGTAGTACACCATCTCATGTGTCTGCAGTTGCAGACATGCTTTGATATGGCTTTCCATATCTCTTTAACAGTGCTGCATAGCATATTCTCATACATGAGTGCAGGCCAGACCTTGTTGTAACTTTTTATTATTGAAATCCCTTAACGGTAAGTCTTCGTTGAGAACTGGGTTTTATTCCCTTGAACTCTGTGATTAGCTGTCAGTGCACAGGACCAAAGCATGTTATTTAAATAGATAGGAGGTAGTTAGGAAACACCCACTCACTACTGGTAGTTAATCAGTGAGATTATACATTTACTGACCTTTACAAAAAAAAAAAAAGAAAGAAACTAAAAGTTATGGAGCTTGTTAGGAAGCCAGAAAGTTTTTGTTTTTTCTGTATTTAGGATAATGTCTACCAGGTCTTACTACATAGATCAGACTCATAGTGATTCTCCTGTTTTCAACCTCCCTAGTGCTGGGATTACAGGCACATGCCACCATGACCAGTCTCAATCACATCTCAGCAAGCCATGGGGGCAGGGCCGGCATGGCAGGCTGGGGATTGAACCCTGGCCGCTGCGCTCTGCCGAAGCAGGCACTGTAGTCTGCTGAGCTATCAGGCTGGCCCTGAAGCCAGAAAGTTAGAATGGTCCAGTTATATTGGGAAACTTGATGGGTTTCTGCATCAGTTTTCTGAAGGTGAATATCTGGATCCACAGCGTGTGGTGTGGTGCTCTAAGAAAACCTCTTGTTTGAGAAGTTTCTAATATACGAGGTAGGAAAGGCAAATCTTGAGTCTTGTTATGACTGTTTTTTTTTTTTTTTTTTTTTTTTTTTTTTTCAGAACCAGGGATTGAACTCATGTCCTTGCATTTGCCAGGCAAGCATTTATTCTACTGAGCTATCTCCCCGGCCCCTGTTATGACTATTTTACCTTTGTCATGAGTTGTAGAATTTTTAAACATTTTTTTTACTTATTGGTGTTCTTGAGTAGATAATTTATTTTAGACTATTTCAGTAAAACATATTTCACCTATTTAGTATTTCTCCTCAGTAAGATTTTAGTTAATTTTTTTTTTTTTTTTTGCCTATAATTATTATGGAACTTTAAATTGCGATGCTGTGGCTTCTTAGTGGTTTGGGCAGGGAGGCTAACAAGCCAGCCCAGGTATCTACACTGTGGCCTCTGGGTGTAGTTTGGCCCCATAGCTGACTGCTGCCAGCCTAGGGTCTTCTGACTGCTTGTGTTTTCTTCTTTACAGTTTGGTTAGTGCTGCTTGCTGCTCATCCTCCTCACTGTGCTGGTAAGCTATTCCAGGAGGATGCTAATGACTGCTTTCAGGTTTGATGGAGTTAAGATTCAGATGAGAAGAAAAGAAAGAAAATGCAGGGAATCTGTGGTAAAGCACAGTAGACTGGAAACTGCCTGCTCCAGGTCAGTGGGATCCCAGCCTAGTCATACCTCTCTGCTCCCCTGGTTCCTATAAGCCAGCTGCTGTTCTAGGTGCTGAGCTGTGGAATGAGCCCAAAGAGGGTGGGCAGTTCCCACCTGTGAGGTTCATTCTGTGGGGACCCAGACCTGTGAATGGGACCCTGAAGCCCCAGAGTGCAAGGAAACAGTGGAAGAGGACAACAGGTGATGTGGGACATGGTAGGAACCCTCCTGGCAGAGGAGGTGCTGGAGTCCTGTGCCCAATGGCACTGAGGCCTAGGAAGCTGGGAAGTGGGGAAGACTGCATCTCGTGGAGCACTTAGGCTGTGCCAAGGATTTAGACTTAATCCCAGGGTGATGGGCAGCCCTAGGAGACTGCCTGCCTCTTCTGCCTCCCTTCCTTTTAGAGTTTGACCACAGCAAGGATGCCATAGGTGTATTTTCAGGAAGCATTACTTGGCTGTTCGGTTTTCAGGAGCATGTGAGGTGTTCATACAGTCTAAATGCTTTATGTACATCCATTCATTTACTTTTCAGGACAGCCTAGAAGGTGGGCTTGACTGTGTTGGTACCCAGTTACAGACAGGGACAGCTTGCACAGAGAGATAGAGTCACTTACCCAAGGTCACACTGTGAAGGGTGTGTGTATGTGGGGTTATTCTCTTCCCTCCTCCCTGCAGTGAGCACTTCCCACCTTCATTCTGTGGCGGGAAGCCAGGAGGATCATCGAGAGGCCCCTGGAACCAGGTGATCACACTGGGTGACCTCGCAGGGCCTCCCTGGGTGGAGGTGTGAGATCAGTTTCCTTACTGTGTTCCAGGACGTGATGCCAGCATTTGTAAGTGGCACAGGTATTTTTCTGTCTACTAACAAAAGGAGAATGTTGCCAGTGAGAGTATGACACCAGTCTTTCACGTCACTCACGGTAGCATTTGTTTGTCCTCATGAAAGGAGTTCAGACTTTAAGCACAGACTTTTAGAATTACATCACTCTTGCATTTTCATAAGACAGGAAAATTGAAATGAGATGGAGTCATTGTGACCTTCCTTCACCTTTGGGATCTGATTCTTCCTAGTCAGCTTTTGCCTGGAGTCAATAGGTAGTGCAGAAGGTGGGAAGATTGGGAAGGGCAGGATTTGGAGTTTAGTCAGGAGAGCCTAAGACTGCCTACACAGTGGCCTCAGAGGTTCCCCCACAGCTTGGGGGACAGGCACCAGGCTGAAGTCCTCACTTTCTGGGTGTATGACCTGGGCACTGTGTGGTGGCTCTGTGCCTGTGTCTTCTGTCCACAGATTGGCTTGAGGAGTGACAACTTATATCTCACAGCATTGCAGAGTCGATAAACTGAGTTAGGCAACTGATGCCTAAAATAGTACCTGACTACCAGGATTTAGGGAGGTTTGCTGCACTTATTATTTTTATGATTAGTCATCTGTGTGGAGACCTTTGGATATCTTTTGGATGGAAACTCAAGGTCAGCTTTGAGAAGACACTGGGCCAGATATGTAAATCTGAAGTCTTTCATCTGGCTGGTGTCTGAGGCCGTAGGCTGGGCAGAGGACAGATGGTAAGGACACATGGGAACTTTGGCAAGGGGTCTGCTGTGGACAGGGTATGCTGGAGGAGGAAGAGGTGGGAGGCCTGTTGGCTGGGAGTCCAGGATGTAAAAGGGTGGAGTGGCTGCGGGCAGAGCCAGTGGGGACAGTGCGATGACTCTGTGGGAATGTTGTCCTGAGGGGATAGCTGAGGGAGACATGGCAGGCATGTATGTGCATGTTCCTGAGCAGATGAGAACGATTGTCAGGAAAGCCCAAGGAAGGAAGGGGGAAAAGGCTGGGAGAGGAGACCTTACTTCATTTGAAAGTGTTTTGAAGACGTACAGGCCCTTTAAAGGAGGAGAGAAAACTAAACGTAGCTTAGTGCTCAGCCCAGGAAGTTGAGAAGTGTGCCTGTGAGTTAGGATCCAGTGTCTCACCAGCTGACTGTACTGGGAATTCTGTTTATTAACTCCTGTCTTTCTGAAGGCATCCTGAGATTGAGGAGAGCTTGGCAACCTCATCTACCCAGCCCAGTTCTGACTAGAGGGCCAGAGGCAGGAGGAGGAAGCAGGTGTCCTAGAACCCAAGGAGACACTTCTTGTGTTTGCTGACTCCCAGCAGAGGGAAGGGTGTGCATAAGTGGCTAGGTAGAGGATCTGCAGGGTGCAATGTGGAGGGGCCACGCCCCAGCTCCTGCCCTCCGCTCCTCCAAGCTGTGGCCTTGGCCTGCAGATCATGCTCTGCACAGCCTTCAGACAGTGGCATCTGTTACTGGAGTGAGTCTGGGTTTGTGTGGTTTGTAGCTGGTGGATGTTTTGGATCTGGAGTTTTGAGGTACCCAGTTCTTCCCTGAGCTTGGGATATTGACCTTCACTCAGGCTAAGCTCTGCCAGAGCATGTTATGTGTGTGTCCTGTGGGAACCCAGGGACAGGGGAGGAGGACCTCTTAGGGTGAGCATTCCCAGGGAGGGAGTCTGAGCAGACCCTGTACCAGGAAAGCACTGTCTACAAGGGGACTGAGGAGACAAGGAAGAGGGTAGCCCTACACAAGGTTAGTGTTCACAGTCTGGTGCACCTGCTGGGAGGATTATGTCAGAAACAGTTGTGCTGACCTGGTGGAGGCCTGAGAGGCATGTGGTACAGACACTTTACTCAGGGACAAAGGAAAGCAGGGGTAGAAAGGGCTCTGCTGGCCTTTGTCTATGGCAGGGGCCAAGGTGATAAAAATGGGAGTGAGCTGTGGCATTGTTCTGTTGGGAAAGAGATTTTGCAGGTGAGGGGCTACAGAGGAGATGCAGGCTCAGTTTCTCCACTGTCCATAACACTTCTATCACTTCTGTGGTACCCTGCAAACAAGCAGCTCTAAAGTGGCCACCAGCTTGAAATCCCCTGAGCCAGCTCCATCCTCATGTTGTCTCTCTGGACACACAGTTTCCATAAGCTGAGGCTCTGTCTCCAAGACAGTCTTACTTCAGACCCAGTTGTAAGTTTAGGGTTCCAACCACCCCTGCTTGGGCCCCCAGAACCCAGGGAGACACTTCTTGTGTTTGCTGACTCCCAGAAGAGGTAAGGGTATGCATAAGTGGCTAGGTAGAGGATCTTCAGGGTGCAATGTGAAGGGGCCAAGCCCCGGCTTCTGCCTTCCAAAAGAGCTGTATATTCCTCCGGCCCGGGCCCAGGAGGCTCTTGCTGCCCTGAACCTCAGAGTGCTCTACCTCCTTGTCTCAGCCCAGGGGCTCTCCAGAGAGAGACTACATTGTTGGCACAGTTGCTCACAGACTATGTGGGACCTTGCAGGACCTTCCTTTCAGAGTCTCTGGGATGCTTGGGGGGTCTCTTTTCCTGGCTGAAACAGGGACCCACCTGCTCTCAGATGTGAGGGCAGACTGGAGGTGGTAGACTGGAGACTCCACCACCACCTTGGACAAGAAAAGCTACTTCCTGTGGATACTTCCTTCTTTACAGAAAACTAATAACTACCAGAAAGTGGACAGAAACCTGCACATATGAAGTGACTCTGTCATCCTGTTGTGGGGACAGGAGGGCCATGGACCCTGCATCTGACAGCTGACATGGAGGACAGGGGGCCTAGGGTGGAGTCGTCAGTATGGACATCACTGGTACTAGGTCAGGTACTGGGGTGTGACCTCTAGGGTGATTATATATACTCCAGAGTCTGTGACACAGCAGTCCATGTGTGAAAGCTTCTATTAGGCAGGATGGGCACTTCTCTGGGTCCTATAGTTCTAACACAGTCCAGTGGAAGGTCTCATGGGCCTTTCACACATCAGGAAGCTGATACTAGGAGGCTCAGTGGTTCCCAAGAAAGCTGGATAATATTTAGCTCAGTCTTTAGGTACTCCTGTGAGTCAGGCACGGTTACGTGAGTATAACCTTATTTGACCCTTGTGACGGTCTCACTGCTCTGTGACCTCTGCCATGGTCCTGTTACTGATGGGAAGCCTCTCTTGCTGTTGCATCTTTCTTCCATGCTAGGTCCTGCAGTCTGCTCAGCCCAGCCTTACCTGTAGTGTGCACATTACCTCACTGTCCCATGGACGTGCCAGTCTGTGCCTGTCTCAGTCTTCTTCATTCTCTCCCCTGCTGCCCATATCCCTGTCTTGGGCACAGCTCCTACTGCCCCAGGCATAGGGCTGGCCCCCTCCTCACTCCACACTCCTTTGCCTGTCCTGTGCTCTTTACCTTGTGATCTCTGTCCCCCCATGCTCTTCCTCCCTGCACTCTGGAGGGCAGGGGTGCTCTGGATTCACACTGGTGGCTCCAAGCACTGCAAACCCTTGCCAAGTCAGGGGGACTTCTTACATCTGTAGGTGGTGGGTGTAGGACCTGCGTGTGTGGTGTGTGTTCTCTGCCTCTGCAGATGCACGTGTGCTTTTCTTCTTGCCACGCTGCCCCCCGCTTCCCACCGTTCATGGTGAATCAGTCATATATTTATGCCCCATATGTCTGTGTTATCTCCAGACTTCCTTGCTTTTCTTTGTAGAACAGAAACATTTACAAAACATTTAAAATTGTTATAAAACCATGAAGTGCAATATAGTAAATTAATCTGTTAAAACAGGGAACTCCTATCCTGCAGAAAGTTACACTGTCCTGCCAGCTTCTTTCTGCCCCTGTGGGGTGGGGTGTGGTTGCCTTGGTTTCCATTGGTGATAGGAATATCTGAGAGGTTACAGGTAGGACTATACTTGCTGGCAAAGATGAGGGCACTTTGAATAATCCTGAGAGGTTTCAGTAAAAAGCAGCCAAATGGGGTGAAAAAGATACTTGATTCAAATGTGGAGGCTTCAAAGAATTAAAAAAAATCAAAGG